CCTTTACGTGTATGCATATTTTTCTCTACAGGGATGGTTCTACTCAAGCATTAAATATCTCATTATCAAGGTTAGAGCAGCCTAATGTGAAGCTGCAAAACAAAAGTCTTAGCTTCTCTGTCACAAGCCTGATTAACCTCTGGAAGGATATTTCTTTCACATCTCCAGCCTGCAAAACATACCAATGTCTGCCTCTCATGATCCAAAATCTGTGAGTAAAAAGTTGTAAACGAACCAAGTACATGAGAATGACTGTAACAACACAAAGTAATTACATCACTTTAAGCCTCTTCCCTAATATTTTGTGAATCCATGTACAAACTAATACAAACAACAACAGGTGTTTATTAAAGCAACTTGGATTATGAACATAAAAGCTCAGACTAGAATACCAAAATGACTTCACTTTTGCAATTCAAGCTGCTAGCAGACAGCACCCTCTTGAGGCAGCAAATTAAATTTATTTTGTAAAAGATTAGCAAGAAAAATATTTATGTATCATTTCCTCCTATCTGAAAACTAATTATTTTAAGCAACCACTAGAAAGCAATATATCCATTACCAAATGTTATTTAGATAAAAAGAGAAAGATAAAGATAAAGATAAAAAAATAAAACACCATTTGACTATTAGCTTTTGATATATGTGGAGGTGAGCCAGTTCTCATCTTTCCCCATTAAGCACACTTCTATTAGCACTAGGCATATGCATGGATAGAAAATTTTACCATGAGCAACACAACTTATGTAGCAACAGAAACACTGTGTATGTTAATTAAGGCTTAATGAACAAAACACTCTTTCTTTACAACAGAATACATCTCTCAGAAAACACTTCTTGTTTGTGCAGCCAGATGAACAGCCAGCTTACAGTCTGGAATATTATATTTTTTCATAAAACCATCAGGAGATGCCTGGAACTACATCAAATCAAACACTTTCATGAAGTAAGTTACGAAAGCTCTGCAGCCATGATCCAGAATAATTACTTACTGAAAACTAATGTATAAAAGATAAAGGCCACATCACCGATGTTTGTTTTGACAAGTACTGCAAAGCGTTACTTCTCGGAACTCATAAAATACTCCATCTAGCAGAGCGTTACTTCTCGGAACTCATAAAATACTCCATCTAGCAGAAACAATGATACTATGTAGTAGGAACAGAAAATAACACTGTCATTAAACTTGTTACATCTTTGCTGAAAGCCAGGAAATAAGCTGTCATCATTTTCCTCATACCTAAGAACTTAAAGAAATTACCTTAAAGAAATAACAACATAAAGAAATTAAGCTGTAATGTTTTAACATTTTTTAAAAAAGTTTTTACTATGTGTTTCTGAAGACAGAAGCTTTCTCAGCTCTCTCATGTACCTTTTTCAATGAAGCACTTTTTTAATAGTACTAAAGCTATTAAGAAAGAAAATACACAATTTTGACTTAACAGAAGATCCAAAAGTAACATCACCCCCAAGGATGACATTCCAAAGGAGAGTTCAGTAACTTCTTCACTGTCATGGGTCTAGAATGCACAGCAGACAGCATGACACGAGGCAGCACTAGACAGGCTTTAGGCTCCTGCAAAGTTCAGATTTCACTACAAATTATCACTAACTCAGAACAAGTAAGAAAGGAACTTCATGAGCTGATTTGCCTTGCCTCTGACTTTCTTCAATTCACTCCAGAATATAATTGTTGTGTTATTTCTAACAAGGTACTAAAAAGATTGATTATATATTATTATATTTGTCATGGAAATTTCTGTTACAGACATAATCATCTTTAACAAACAAACAAAAAAAACCCCCACAATCAACACAAACCACCAAACATTTTGATGCAACTTCAAACTCCTATTTGTTTCCCATACTTTGTATATTGGTATGGTATTGGTGACAACTTGGCACTTCAGCAAGGTTTTAATCTCCCACAGAATTATGTTCCCTGTTTTTGTAACCTCTCTGCCCTTCCTCAAATTGTCACAGAGCCTGTGGCATACAACAGTATGGATTAAAAAAAATTATAAGCAGTTAAGTGTTAATTTATTAATTAGTAAATGCAGAGTACATTTGAAAACATACTTGTCTTCCTCTGTCTTGCTAATGACCATGACTCAGGACATTTCTACCATGTAAGTGTGTATCTTGACCTCTGAATGTTATCAAAAATCTTAGCGTAGACAAGTGAATATTCACCAAAGAATAGTACAAAGAGTATGGAGGCTCTACACAACGACATGAAATACTAGCGCTAGATTGCTGTGTTCAGAACATGTTAGAGTGTGATTTCAAGCATGCATTTTTAGCAGCATAAACTATCTGTGAATAATAATGATGACACTAGAGCTGTGTCTCCACATACAGCTTTCAGGTAGCAGCAAAATCTATGAAAACAGCTTAAGCTATCAAAAAATTCCTCCCCTCCCCTGCAATTGAACACAAAGAACAGAATGTCCTTTTTAAAACTAGGGTGACATTTAAGTCATGCAGCTAAATATAATCTTGTGGAAGGTGCTGGATGCTTACTGTACAAAAAGTACCATCCTACTTATTGAATTTCTGCCCTGTTTTTCAGCTTTCCACTGTTATTTCTAGTGCAAAAGTCCTGCTAACAGAAATCTATTTCAACAGATTTTTGCTGATGTTCTTGTTACAACCCATTTTATCATCAATGCATACTTGAAATATGAGTATTAAAATAAATTAAAAAAAAAAGAGCAAAATTTTTTCAGAGATATAACTTTAAATATTGTTAAATATCATGACAAATGATAATATGTGTTATAACTTCTACAAGTCACCTGTGCAGTACCAAAACTCCTTATACCAGATTTTCTGAGGGACAGTTTAATAGAAAATAATCCTGGCCCTCTTAAGATATAACCACAGTAACTCCATGTAAGACCCATTTCACTTGACATTGCTATCCTTTTCCAGAGAAAGTCTACTGTCTTTTTATAACAGCACCATCTCAATTACACGTTTACTTAATTTTAACTAAACTGTGCTCTGATGAAGTTGCTTTTCATGTATAAAGATCAGCATCTTGTGCTATTTGGGCTGTGCTTCTAGCCAATCAATTGCAACAAAATATCCAAGAGGGCTATCTCATATAACCATAAAGGAAGTAAATATTCTTTCAATTGCTTATATGTCTGTCTAGTGAACATCCAAACCCTTTTCAAGAACAAAGGAAACTCGTAAAATGTCTAGCTACGAAAGAGATTTTGATATAGAGAGTTCTAGAACCAGAAAGGCTTTTTAGCAAAACTGCACATTCTCAAGTACAAGGCCATGGAGAGTGCTTGACCTGAAACAGGCATCCAGCTGTGTCTGATGACCACCTTTGATGTCATCTGGTTTTTATATTGGGATGGAAAAGCTCTCTTTACAGGAAAAATGGTGTGCTTTGATTGTGTTGTGTGAATTTTAAAGTATTCAAATTCAACATCAAAAAGGCTCTAAGAATCAAAAAATCTAATAAAAATAAATTCTGAACTAGTGACGCAGAAGAACTGTAGTGACTATCATCACACATCTACATACAGGCAATTTTCAAACAGCCCCAAATATACCAAACTGCAAGAATTTAGACACACATCTCTAAAAAAATAAAGACTTAAGGACACTGAATGCTGAACACACTGAAAAGAATGTTTCTACCATAAGCTTATCCTGTGACATTATCAAGATTTCAAGTTGACAATTTATTGCCAAGAATCATACAGCAGAATATACATACAAGGATGGCAATGCTCGAGGTGATAAACACTCCCAAGTGAAGTCATAAAGGCACTAAAGACAAAAGTTCCTGCACAACTTTGCATAAGGAAGTTTTGAGAAAAAAAGTATTTCGTCTTACCCAACTCACTTTCACCAATGACAATCAATTCTGAATTAAGCAACCTCTTCATAAGTATTCCTAAATGCATACACATAAAGGATGTCAAATATCTATAATAACAGACCCCAGTTTCTACATGCAGTCTAATCTCATGCTTTGCTATGTATACCATGTGACTTACTTTTATTCTTAACATCCATACTAAATTCCTCTCTTTTGCATTTACCTCATCTCACTGATTCTGACAGCCTCATCAGGTAATAGGAGATCACTAGGCTTTGAACTAGGGCAAAGGATCCACACTTAGGATCAGAGCACTGGTAAAGCAGCAGTGCACAATGTTGCTACCATCAGACTTTTTAAGTGCTGTGGAATTGGCTGGACACAATAGTGCATTAAGTAAGAATTTTTCGGCCCCGAAAGTAAATCTCTGAAAAGCCTCAGAAGAAACTGACCAACCTCCCAAGTTAGTTAGATTTAAAAACCAATCAAACAAAGTTAGGTTTAAAAAACAACCAACAACCAAACCTACAACAACTAACAAAAAACCCAAGACAAAACACATATACACAGAATAACCAAAATAACCCCAAAAAAACAGATCACAAAAAAAGTGGCAGCTCCTCTCACAACAATCTATTTGGAGAACCCCTTGCTATAAGACAAGATCATAAAGACATGCAAGTTATAACAAACACGGGACAAGTTCCAAAAAATTAATCTGCAGAGGTATTATTACTCAGTACAGAAAGCATACAGATCATTTCCAGACCAAGAAGCTCCTAACCCACAGGTGATTAGACTTCTATTGTACAGAATTATCATTAGATGACTTTCTGTGGTAATATTGCATGCTAATCTTCCACTTCTTGGCCATTCACCATACATGGCTAGATCTTCCCTAGTGACCTGTTTCTTCTGCAAACTGAACCACAGCAATTCTTTTATCTTTTCAAGAAAGTCTTTGAATTAGCAGCCCTTTTTACTTTTTCCCTTTCTTTTTTTCCCCTCTTCTCTTTCCAGTCTTCCTTCCATTTGGCCAATGTTCTTCATAAAGTCAGTAATCAGCAATAAGCAAAATATTCCAGGTGAATTTTTACTAGTCCTACCCATAAAAATCATCTCACGGCAGTTTACTGCAGCATTTGTGCCCTCACTGAAAGAATATCAGTAAATATTTCAGTTTTCATAGCCTTTTTGCATTATAACTTTCCCTCCCAACTAAGGGATTTACTCTTCTGATATTACCCTTACCATTAACAAACTACCGAAGACTCCCTTGCTATACTTAACTTCTCTCATTTTTTGCTTCTCTCAGGTCAAAAGTTGTAACCTTCGATTTTACATCTTGAAACCTTACAGCAGGAGGTCAAAGAGCTAGTTATTTCTTTCATTAATGAAGAGACAGTGGATGCCTCCATTCCAGAGGATTGAGGAAGGTTTGTTCCTCTCACACAAAAGCACTGAACAGTTGTCATGTAGCCAGCTATAGCAGCTATTTTCTTGATAACAACCTCGGTTAAAACTGAGTTTGCTAATTTCCTGGTACATGAAAGAGAACAAAAAAAAATAAGTATACTGAGAAGTCTGCTACAAGAAAAACATTTTGCAAGTTTTACAAGTATTAAGAATTCTTTATCAGATAAACTTACTTTATCCTACCAGACTACTAGGAGAAATCAAAATTAACGTTCTAACAAAGACAACCCCTTCATAGTTTTCTACAAAGGCTGACAAAGCAAGTCTTCTTTCCCTGATGGACCCTATCATATTAAAGACATAACTGGTACAGATAGTGGCTCTCAAATCACTGTCCAACTTAATCTAGAGTCAGGAATTTACACAAGTACATTTAATGAGTCTGCTGGTACCAAGTGGTCCATGCCAACAGTATTGTTATCAGTGACAAACACATCACTACAACCCTTGACAGAGTACTTAGGACCAATTCATTTAATTTTAGAGCAAGATGAATTACCTATGGGAAAATATGCACTTGCTCTGAAAAGTCAGCTTTGCTACTAATATCACAGTAAATGTGTACACAAAGCATACACTCAAGTCTTATGTGTCAAGAACTACCTACAGGATTCTCACCTACTAATTATTGGGGTCATTCTCAGCTTCTCTTGTCCTACAGCAATATGCTGTTTGACTTTGATCTCAATAGCAGATCTCTTTTAGATTTAAGTAACACAGACTGCAGTTAGTCTGCTTCCAGCAGATACAGGAGACAGAAAAAGAATGTCATGGCTGTCCTGCCTCCTCTGTTACATTTTGTCAGGAAGCCTTCAGAGAGGAGTGCAGCCCAAAGAGACTCCTTCCATTTTGCTACACAGATGATAAGGATTGAAAAGGACAGGGAGGGAGGAACAGAGGAAGAAGAAACATAATATGGGAAAGTTTGTATCTTTACAAAGTTACCTTCAACAATTAGAACAGCATTGAAATCAATGTCCTAAGTTACAAAACATCTTTCTCCAAGGCCATGAATTTTGAAACAGAAAAATTCACAATACACACACCTGTAAAACACTTGTACTTAAAACAAGCACCTGAAATATAAAACTTGTCTTGTTGATTTCATTATTGAAAGTAACATTTCAACAACCTATAGTAGTCCAAATAAGACCATGTTCAGATATACCTATCAGTATGTGATACCAATTGATACCAATTACCAACACACATGTTAAACTAGAAGCCCACATCTTGCTTAGAATACTAGTTATAAATAATCCTTTTCATGTTAGTCACACTCACCGTTTCTTGTCTTTGGGACTCAGTGAGCTTTTCAGACAATTCTTCTAAAGTCTTTCTTAATTCAGCATCAGTCCTTCATAGAAAAATACAAGACAATATTCTACAGTGCAAAAGCTAATAACAATGATAACTTTAAGCAGCAACCCCCCAGAATTTTTGCTACTTCAATTTGTTCTACAGCCTATTCATAACAGATCATAGCCTATACATAATAATTTATAGCATAATTAGAAGCAAGTTCCAAGTGGAAAATTCATTATAAAAATCATTCCCATTCCTCACATGAAGAAACAAACTATCTAAGTATCAGCTAGGTATCAGATCAATAAGTACAAAATTATGGACATATCTACATACTCCTTTTGAACAGTAGTTTCTTACTAGGAATTAACAGTCTAATTCCTGTTATTGCTCTTGAATAAAGCATCACATGTTGAGAAAGTATATACATTATGGCCTGCAGGAAAGTTTGCTGTGAAGGGACTCCAGTAACAAGGACAAACTAGGAGCAAAGCTGCAATAAAAAGAAATTCCCTAGTCCTTGTCATTTTATACATGTATTAAAAAAAGATGAGGAAAGCCCTATATATTATACAAATTGGAACTGGTAGGTGTTATTTACATTTATAAATACTTCAGAAGATGATATAAAACAAGCAGTTTATAATCCTGCTTTAATCTACGTGTTGCACAACCCCTCATTCTCCCCAGAATTATTTTTTTAAATAAAAAAGTTAAATAATTTTTTCCACACTGTTCTTCACATGGAGTTATATCCTGTTTATACCGATTTCTTCTTGAAAGCTCACGACTGATGTCATCTCCCAGGCGAACTTGTTCACTGCTGAGATCTCGAAGAGACTGGTGGAAAGAATGCAGCTGTAAATAAAAGTACACAAATTAAGCCAAGGCTCAGGAACTCATTTTTTCTGTGATATTCCAAAAATACATATCTACACATATACACATTTTAAAAAACAAAGCAGATAAAAATAACCTAAAAAAAAATAAAACACTATGAACATCCAGTTGATCCTGGAAAAGGCCTGTGAACTTCTATTTCAATCCACCCTTCACAATACTTCCTCAGTGTAGTTTAACTTTCAGTACTTTACTTGCTAAACCAAGTTTCCTATGTTTTTTTTTCTTCTGTAGTTCAGAGTTTAGACACTATACCACCTCTTTAATCTAATGCAAAGCAAACTGAAACATTTGAACATGTTCCAAAAAGACATTTCATGTTAATTAATACTAGTATGGTAAAACAATGGTAAAACATATATAGCATGGTGCCCAGCTATATATGCTTCCATCAATAGATTACATAGGAACGTGAAACAAAACAAGCAGAACAGCATAATGTATTCATGAACTATCAAGAAAAGGTATTTTGCCTTGCCCAAGACTTTACATACTCTTTTTTCAGACCTTGGGAAAAAAAAACAAAAAACAAAAACACACATCTACTTTCCTCTGTAAAACCTCCCATTTTCCCCATTCAGCAGACTCGCAACTTATCATCAGAGTTTAGGGAGCAAATAAAAAAATGAACAGGTCATTCATTCTTCATGGGATAAAAAGTGAAAGTTAATCCATCCTAATGCAACCGACTGCTGTCAGCAATTCCATGGCCAGGATTATTGTTATGAAAAACCCTAATATATAATATTCTTTTGTTCTGTGTCCTAGATTTAAACCTTCCACAACCAAGCTGACTGCCCTCAACATTCAGATACAGGCACTACTACCTCCCCTGTGTGATTAACCAGAAATTTCAACCTGACCTGAGAGACTTAGAAATAACACATCATATTTTCAAAATGTATCTGCTGAGAAGGAGAGAGACTTAAATGTGTTAAAAGACCATTTGCTGAAAAATTACTTCAGCTAGTAAAAGTCAGAATAGGAATAAAGAGACAGTGGTTACAGAAAAAAAAGCCACAGCTTTAGATAAACAGAACTGCTTTATCTCAGGCCTAATTTCTACCTGTAATCATTCCAGTTCGTCATTCCTCAAAGCTCTATACTCTTCTTACAAAACAGTTAATGAAAAGAAAAAAGCCATATTCACTCACTGAAAAGCAAGAATGTGGAATAAACCAACAGTTATCATCAACACTACAAAAAAAAGCTATTTGCCCACATAGTTATTTAATATGAAGAACTTTGTATGCATTGCAGGAACTCCCTTGAATAAAATTTCCAAGATATTTATCAAATATCTAGAAATAATCTAAAGTAGTCCTAAGGATTTTAGATTGCTGGGAGGAAAGATTTCCACATAACATTTTTTCTTTCCAAAGATTGTTTTCTAGACTTAGCTTGGGAGGGAAGGATGGAAGAACTAGATTGAAAAGACAATGAAACGGAGTCAAACAAAAGTCTAGAATTTCTACAGCTTCCCAAAAAGTCAGCTGAGAAAACTTGTTGTAGTTAAGTTTAAAATTATATGGAAGCTGACACTGATTTAAAAAGTCAATATGAATACCTTACAATCAGCTTCTTTAATATCAGTCTACACAGATTCCCTCAAGCAAGTCTAGCCACCCTGTCTGAAAAAGCAAAAACAGGTAGTAAAATCTCCTCTCTACCTATCGAATAACAGAAACACTATAATCTTATCCATTAAGGTAATTAATTTATTTTTTACGAAGCCTGCAAGCAGATACAAGTTACGGGATATGAAAATTACCTGTGGCACACACATCCTCTCCTCCTCCCATCATCTACCTGAAATACAAGCTCAAGTCATTCTACTCACAGGTCAGACCAAGAACTAAGATGAAGAACTATCTGGTTCAAAATCAATCCAAGCTACACTGAAATAAAAGCAAAAGCACTAAACCCTACACCATTAACTAAAGCAGAATAATCCACTTCACAGCCTCACTGAACTTCAGCATGAAGGTGGATGCTAATTGGCTGGAAGGGACCTCTGAAGATAATGCCATCCAAACCCTGTGCCAAGGCAGAGTCACCTAGAAAAGGTGACACAGGAACTTGTCCAGGTGGGTTCTGAATGTCTCTAGACAGGGGGATTCCATAACCTCCTGGGCAGCCTGTGCCATTGCTCTGCCACACTCAAAGTTTTTTCCTCACACTGAAGTGGAACTTCTTGTGTTTTAGTTTAGGGCCGCTGGTCCCTGTCCTGTCACTGGGCACCACTGAACAGTCTGGCACCATCCTGTTGAACACTCTAATATGTTAGAGATATTAATATGCATTACTGAGATCCCTTCTCAGTCTTCTCCAGACTAAACAGGATATTCAGAGATTATTTTTGTGTCATAACACAGCCAAAAAAGTAGGGAGATAATTTTCATATTTTACTTTTGATATCACTACAATCTGAATCTCTATAATGATTTGCATGAAACTTCATGACACACAGAAGTGGCTGCCTGAGGAAAAAAACAGGTAACACAAATCATAGCTGAAAACACTGAACACAAATCATAGCTGAAACATCCTCAGATGCACCTTCAGAATCACTTCATTTAATGTAAAAGCAAGGAGTCTGGTGACCACATATTTCCTATTTGGACCAGCCACTCCCATCAGTGCTCAGTACCTGGTCCACATTATCTGCCTCATTGACAAATCGAACACTTGCAGATCTAGACCTTCGATGTTTATTGCCCTGTGAATCTCCATAATCCCTGAGAGGAGAAGTGGGCAGGAAGTGGCGGTTGCCTATAGGAGATATGAGATAAAAAAAAATAAGTTGGAAGACAAAATTTTGTATGGGAAATTTTTCATTTTGCTTCATGAAAAATGTGTATTTCATCCTGACAATATCCTTCTAGGTCACATTACAGACAACTACTGAATTACATAACATGCAAATGACACTTTTAGCTCTTCTCAGGATTCTTCTTCAGTTTAAACAATTTCTTACCCATGACACACAAGTATTTCAGAAAGAAGAATTGTTTCTCCAAGGAGTAGTTTTTCCTCAAATTTTATTTGCCCAACCAACCACTTTTTCCTCCAGTTGAATATATCAGAGCTTCAAACTATTATATTTCACAGCTTTTACATAGGAATGAAACTTTCAGAGGTTTCTACTAAAATATGTTAAATATACTTCTCAAAGGAATACTCCTCCCAAACATACCTTTTCCCAAAATATAATTAATTTTCTGAGACATACAAGGAAAAAAACCTACTCTTTTGTGGGTCATTAAGAATTTCTGGTTTTTCTTTTCCACTGTTTCCAAACATCCATAATCTCATGCACATAAAATTTAAATTCCCATCTTGCTGTGAAGCAAGCTTCAGAAGCTGCAATATCTTTTGGATTTAGCTTTAACTTGTATGTACCTACAACTCATGCAGTGGAAAATTAATTTTCTCAGCTGAAAGAATTAAAGTTTCATTTAGATCTCTTGGGATATCAGCAGAAAATACTAACAGAAACAGAAAGCTGGAAAAATTTCCCACATAAACAGCTTCATAATGCAATTGTCTCCCAAATATCTGAACTCAGTTTCTTTGCAGTGATGATCAGTGATGACTTTCCATAAGACTATCTCTACACATTTTTCTTAATTTCCTCTTCACATAACAGAGTTATATGACATAATTCAAGCATACTCAAGCCCTTTAAGTATTTTACCTGATGTTCCTTCTACATCCAGGTCACTGGGATATAAACTTGAGAGAGATGCACTTCTCATTCCAGAGTTTCGTGCTAGCCGCTGGCTCCTTAATTGACCAATAGATTGCTCCAGTGTTTCTTTTAACTGCAGAAAAGTTATAATATATTGGAATATGAACATAAACTTGTTTTTTAAAAGGCACGTTAAATATTATTTATTTAAAAGTCATTAAGAGAATAAAAGCTATTTTTAAACCAAGTACAGCTATGAATTAACAACAGCTTTTCTTTAATATCTCATATGTCACATTCCTGTAATTATAGCAAAATGCTTCCAACACTGGCAGCTTCAAATATCAAGTTTCTTAAAACAGTGGTGCACCACCATGAAAACTCAGAAGTTTGTCTACTACAACCAAAATAAGACCTATTTGCCAGCAATGCTGATTAACAGTCTTGCAAAATCCAGAAAATAACTTCAAATAAATTATTTTTTACAGGAATTTTTCCACCAGCCCTACCTGGAATCAATTTTATATATGGCTATCAAATTTCCCTAAGCAGCTTTACAGAAACCCCCTATTTCACTTCAAGGAAAAGGAAGCCATTCACAATTTAAGACTACAGAACTAGCTATATTCAAAAATTAGTTCTTCATTTTTCAAACTTACATATTATAATTGCATTTCTTAACTTTGGTCCTTAGCCACTAACTTTGTCACACCTCTATTTGACAATTCACAAAACATCAGCTTCTAAAAGTTCTCCTTTTTCTAAGAGAAGCTTGTAAACAATGGTTAAATTGATGCCTTACTCCTGCAGAATTATACAGTGTTGGATCTCCTTCTCTGAAGAAAACAAGCTTTCTTTTCTACACATTTGCTTCTTCGATCTCTCTACCTTCACATGTAAAATATTCCTATATTTCATACGCATCTGTTTCAAGGCAGCACCTGCTGCAGCTTGTTTGTAATGAAATTGTAAACCTCCCTTGCCTAGAAGCACTAATTTGTTTTGCTTTCTCTAAGATACCTGTTTTCAAACATGCAGAAGACTCATTTTATAATTTTCATCCCTTCTGCAATTTAGAGCAAGCTGGTCAACAGATCAAGAAACTGTTGTAGAATAACAGGAAAAACGCTACACCAGTATGATCACAATCCCATTCCCTGCTATAATTCAGCTTTTATCTTATCACTTCTTGATGCAAAAGAAACATGTTCCCTAACACTATTTCAGCTACACATCTTGTATTTGGCATACTACCATAACATAATCTAATGGGCACTTATAAAGCAGAAAAGTAATGAGCCAAGAAAACCTGTCAGAATTCCATTATATAACATATTACTATTAGTTTGCTCAAATAAATATTAAAATTTCCTGTTTATAGCTACTTAACTCTTTATATATTCTGTCCATTAATACCGAGTTTTCAGCTATGAATTCAACTAATAGAAAAGACCTAAGAAGTTAAGATAAACTCAAAGTTGCTCACAGTTGTTATTGCTTTGGTTTGTTCCTTGTTGTATTCTCTGTATTGTCCTAGCAAATGGTCAACATGTCTTAGATTTCTGTTGGTATCCTTAAATAAAAAAGTTTAAGAAAAAAAGTCAAAACAGAAACCTCCTGTAATCAAACATTACTGTTGTCTTTATTCTTACTGTTTTCTAAAATTAAACTGAAAACACACGTGCTTTCTAAAGGGTCTAAGCATTCATAATCCTGTTCAAATAACCAGAATGTGAAGGAGTACAGCATGGCTGAAGGGGGTAAAATTAAGGAAAAGAAAAAAACAAAACCAAATGCTATCATTTCGGTACAACAGTAAGGCCTCAGCTTCAAATAAAAAGGTTTTTCAGGTTTCAGACATTCTGTAGAAAAACCTTTTTAATCCAAAAATCTTAATATTACCTGCTTACAGAACAGAATAGTTATCTGAGAAATAACAAGTTTTTGAAGGTGAACACACTAGGTAAGGTATGAGTATTCTCTGACCAGATAAACACCTGGATCAGATGGAAGATCTACCAAAAAGCAGCCCACAAAAAGCAATTATCTTAAAATCAGAATTTCAAAAGAGCAGCTAGAAAGAGGCTAGACGGAATCAGAATACCAAAAAATCTCTTTTAAAATATAGTTAGTTCTTATTAACTTATCTTTTTTCTAGATTGATGTTTATTTTCCAGATAACAAGTTCTGAAGTTTAAAGTTACCATTCTATATTGATTTTTCTCTTCTCATATATTAAAAGGAAAAAAAATATTGCTGACAAAACAATAAGTAATAAAACATACACCCACCGACTCTAGATATTTAGAACTGTCAGCTAGAGAAGAATGGGAATAAATTCTCAAGCACTAATGGTGTCAGGATAGCTAAATGTCTCCTCCCACTTGCAAAACAAATTCAGATATTCCCTCTGCATCCTCCATATTTTCTTGCTCAGTATGTATCTCTTACAAGTTTAGAAATAATGTTTCTCACATCTAGAAACTTTCAGCTAGCTAAAACTAGGTTAGAAACAATCTAGCTTTTTCATATCAAGAAAATATTTAAAATGCAAGCTCTATCCTGAAGGAATTGACTGCTTACATATTTATCAGAGACTTGGAAATTTTACACAGTACAAAGATAACCAAAGATAACCAAGACAAAACTGAAAATTTCTGATAGAAAATTTAATGCCTCTTGTGAGACTATAACAAAGCTGATTTGGACTTACTCAGTTCGCTAACTATAAACAGTATTCCCCCACATAACACTGTTACTAACAACATTCTATTACTGTCTGAAATAGCAGCTGTATAAAAGTGCAACAAGCCACACAATTTCAGCCCAAAAGCAGTATGATCAATATCCCAAAACCCTTTTTGGTTTGCACAGAAAGAAATGTTTCCCATCTGTACAGTACACTCCACAACTTTAGAAATGAAAATTTGACCCTGTGTTACAGAAATGCACAATCTATAAATACTTTAAAACTGTATTTTGTAAACAACCTGCAAAGTGCTTGCTAAAGTATGGATCTTCTCTGTAACTTCTTCAGCACCATAGTTCTGAGCTCTGTTGTGGGATGCTCTCAAAGGCCGCCTTCCCACTCGACCCGTAAGAAAGTTGTCTGAATCACTGGATGAATCTGCCATGAGTATCTTGAAGCCTAGGCAGGGAGACCAGAAAAAGTAACGTTTGTTAATTCCTGCCTGCAACTGAACAGTCTTGCACAATATTCCCAAAGCAACTTCATAAACTCAGATTACACTTACATTAGCCTTTCTGGTTTGGGTCAGCAGGATGTACTTTTGAAGCAGATCTTCAAACTGCTCCTCAGTTGTTACCTTTGTTCACACTATGAAGCTCGCTCAAGATGCAGGAGGCAGAGCCTCTTAGGAGCAAATTAAATCAAAATATACACTCTCACTGCTTCCAAGTGTTCAGTACCCACGATAAAACCATGGCCCAAAGCAAATTCTCCCCCCAAAACATACAGTGGAGACATTAATGTTTTATCAACCATCTTGGTGTGCAGAACCACTCTCATTTAACTCGCACTACTCACTAAGCTGTCTTCAGAACGGGGATTGCTAAATCTCAAGGATGGCAAGACAGAGGGAAAAATAGGTCAACAGTCATCAGACAAGTGAAATTACTAAAAACTAGAGACAGAAATGCCTAGTATAGTAAAGTCACATAATAACTGATTAAAATAACAACCCTCAAAAGGTAGGTTAAATCGAAATTTTTTCTTCAACTATTACACACTGCAGCAGTTTGCCTTAAGGTCATGGGATGACTTGGTGAAAGAAGAAATAGACTGACAAATTCCTGAATTCCTGTAGTCAACAACAGCAACAACAAAAAAACTGTGTGTGATGTGAGGTGTGATGCCTGTGATGCGTGTGATGTGTGATGTTATATTATATTATATTATATTATATTGCAACTTGATGTTTTTCCAGGTCCTTATACTTAATTTTTAAAAGGTTGACAATTTGTGTCCCCCAGACTTCCACAGAAACCTTTCAAACACCAAAAAGAGCAAATCAGCATGCTCAGTCTGTGCTCAAGCACATCACTTTTCCTTATATTTTCTGAACTGGTGAATTTACCTCATCTTTCCTCTTCTTATCTCACTTCACTAAAGCACATTTTTACTAACAGTATCAGAATTTGTTATTCCAGTGCCCCACTCTAGTCAGCTGCAATGAAGTCTTAATGAGACTGAAAAAGAATAAAGACATAGCACTGGGAAACAGGAATTACGGGATATTTTCAAAGACAAAGAAAAATAAAATAAATAAAACACTGGTAGAAATAACAACATGGAATAAATTTGGTAAAAAAACATCTCTACAAAACCCAACAAACAAATACAAAATACAAATCCAACCATAAGGTTCCCAACTACTGAAAAGCAAAGGCAGGAGGAAAAAAGGGAACAAAGATTTACAGCAGGAAAGGTCAATGGGTTTATTTTCAGCTGTCGAAAAATGGGCTCATTGAGATATATACTAGCCAAAGCACAAAAGAAAGGTCAGTAATCAAGGTAAACATAAAAGAAAGCACAGGATAAGGAGGACATTTTGTCTGAAGAAAACTTACTATTTATGGTTAAACATTCCTCTTTGTTCTTATTAGCAACCTAAAAGGAACCACAAATACTTTTAAGGTGAAGAAGTTGTTTCACATAAAGCAACATCCTCATTTTTTAAAGGAACTGTGCAAGTTTCACTTTAGATTAAAAAAACAAAAATCACAAAGTAGTAGAAATTTGTAGGAATGCTCCATATGCACATTTGCCTATCAATGAAACAAACAAAAAAAGCTTATCACTTTTTCCAAAAAGCTACACTAATTTCAGCACATGATCATATGGCCAACTTGACAGTAAGAATTATTTGGCTCTTACAGGTTTTTATTCTACCCAAACAGATCATAACCTTTGTTGAATTGATGAAAAGCGTCAATACTCAGTATTTTCCTTTCCTGTAGGAAGCAGAGCATTTCAGCTTCACTGAGGACTCTTTTTAAGAGATCTGCCAGGTAAGAAGTAGAGCTGACAATATCAACGTCAAACTCTCCAGCTCAAGTAAACGAAAGACAGTCAGTGTACACAACTTGATTATTCCTCAAGTGTTTTATTTGTTCAGCTCCACACAGACGAATCTATCACTAGGTAACTAACTTAGTGTTAAAGGAATGGTTAAAGCCCTATAGCTAAGAATGAGCACGAACAAAAGAAAATTTTAAAAAAATTACAGTCGTTCCAGAAAGGAACAACATGACACCCGAAAGGCCCTTTCCTTCGGCGCTTGTATTTGTGCCCGGAAAAAGACCGGAGAGTGATCCCATATGATGATATTTTACCATGGTGCCCTCAGGGAACAGTGCCACAATTAATTATCAATTTGTCACACCGTGCTCCCGGCACACGACACAGAAAACAGTTCCTTCACACTGCTCATAAACAAGCAATGCCCCCTGCAAATCCTCCTCCTGGTGGGCACGCAGGGAACTCCACTAACACCCGACTCCATCTCTGAGAGTCTCCTGGTTCTTTGGCTCAGACAGGACCAAGAACAGAACCCAGAACGCCGGCGGGCACGCCGGGCAGGGCCTCCGGACTGTCCCGGGGAACCCCGCGG